TCAATTACCTAAAAAGCTTATGATTGCGCTGGAAGGTACAACAGTAATGTAACTTGTTATTATAATAATGGACTAAAATACATGAACAATTAAAAATGTCGTAAAAAACATTAGGCCCTTGATTTTACAGTGCTACGTAGAATATATTATGTGAAACCATCATGAAAAGAGAGAATATATATAAGGACAACACAATCTCACATTTAGAAAGTCAGAATAGATAAACAAATAAAACTAAAATTGATAATTTCCGAACATAGTAAAAATTGGTAAACGGTTTCGCAGTCAGTTGATCAACTGATACAAAATTGTAGAAGATTTTAATATTATTGAGTAATATACGTACGATATTTATCCATCACATGGAGATATTCTTTGATTTAATTTAATTAATTATACAAAAAACAGTACACAAACTTTTATGATTTTATTTTTATAGTGATTCAAAATCAGGAACATAAATGAATTTAATACAAAATTTAAAGATCTAGAAGTGTAACACACTCGCATGGACTTAAACGAATGATATCCAATTGTTTCAGTTTTTTCCTTTTAAAGCAACAAAATCCTAAAAATACGCACACAAGTATTTTAATTAGAAATGATTAAGATCCTGCTTCCTTTGATCTGTTATATGGTCTAAAATATAAAATGATTCTTGTTATTGTTTACACTTTAGATAATCGTTTGTTTCAAAATCGACAATAATCGTTACCTGATAATGGTAATTTCATGTTACAACTTTTTATTTCTTTGATCTTACGAACTGTTACCGATCTGATCTATTTTTATTGCTTACCTCAATAAAAATCATTAATTTAAATTTTAATGTGTTCACTAAACCCGAATAATAAAAATAACGACAAACTGTATTCGTTGTAATTATTGGTTTGTTAGGAATCAAATTAAAATAACAATGATTTTGAATAAATATGGTTTTTATATCACTTTTAACAGTTCCTTAGAAATGTTGTGTTGAAGACGAGAACATGGAACATTAATAAACAATTAACATAAATTCTGGTAAATTGTTTTATAATAGCACTTCAATAACCCAGACAATTACATCGAAAAAGAAGAATATTGTCTTTACACGTATTTCTATCATTAAATTTTATGATAATGAAGTGATTTTTGACATTGAAGAAATGGGTCTTCATTTATATGTATATTATGCAGTTTTGTATTAACTAAAGGCAACAGCAACAATTTTTTTACAGTAAAAATATTGTGTGAACCTTGGCATATAATAAAAAAGTTAAATCGTTTAATCCCAGGGAGACGCCCCTTTTACATGGATACCAGATTTGGATAAACATATATCGTACATTAAGATTATTATTAACGTCCTGTTGACATTGCTTTTTAATAATTTTACATTAGGTGTGTTTCGAATATAACCCAGCATACCGGTTATGAATCGACGCCATATTGTACTGGTGTGCCATCATACTGTACTAGTGAGACAAGTGTGACGTAGTGGTATATCAAACGGGCGTGCGTGCATGAGACTTTGAGGAACTTTTTATTGTATGAAACTTTTGGAGCAAAATTATTGTAAACAAGAACAAACATTATTCCCAATATGGCGTCAATTTGACGTCAACGTACTGGCCAGAATGCTGGATTATATTTCAGAACACACCCATTACACACACAAATGATATGATGAAGTTTTTTTTTGAAGTGAAACTTCTATGTAGACGGGATATTACGATTTTTTCTGTTACGAAAAAGCGTTACGGCCGCGTGGAGGGGGTAGACGGTATATCGCGTGGTGAGAAGCGGTAGCGGCAGAGGAAGAGAATGGCTGGCTGCGGCGGAGAGATGACAACGGCTGTATTAGATAGAGTCCCGGCGGCGTGTGCTGTGCTCAGCTGTTGTTTTCTTACCTCTGCTCTTCACTTGGCTGTTCATCATTGCCTTTATTTGCGGTCTGTGTAAAAACCAAACCATAATTTGCAGTGAACCTATGAAAACGAAATGTGTGCTGGGGCACACAGTAGAAGTTAAACTTCAACGGACAAGTGGAAAAACGAATGGCTACAGACAAGTGGAAAAACGAATGACAACGGACAAGTTGAAAAACGAATCGCAACAGACAAGTGGAAAAACGAATGACAATGGTGAAGTGGAAAAACGAATCGCAGAAAAAGTTTTACTTCAAGTTTTACAGGCAAGATTGTTAATGTACTTGTCCAATTTGAAAACCTGCAAGTAAAAATTTTGTTTCGATTCATTTTTCCACTTGTCCGTTGAAGTTTGACTTCTACTTTGTATTCCAGAACGCATTTTTCGTTTTTAAAAATGATGTAACTGCCCTTACTTTGAGTACCAAACATATTCTTTTAATGGAATCGATAACTTACAAGAACTGCGATTATTCTTTTGTTTTAGTTTCACACGTGTTATTTTTTTTTAGGATGATCTCAGCGTTACTGTTTTCAAAAGTTCTATTTATCGCTATTCGATGAGCGACATACGCCACAGCCATATACATGTAATTTTGAAAACATGATCACATGTTTTGAAATTTAGTTAGATAACACTTTTATTACCAAGTAATAAGTACATAATTGTTACACATCACTCATAGTAATTAGACGGTATTGACGATTTTATGTAGTATGCATGCAGGCACATCTGAATAACTCGAAGATTCTTTATTCCTACGTCAATCGCCAATCCGCAGGTAGTTTTTTTTAATAAATTTCTCCTTTTATTACAATTACAATAAAAGACTGCCACTATGACCTATTAAATGATTCATGACATTTTGTTGTAATGTTGAAAATGTTTAATAAAATAGTCACATTTTAATAACAAATAGTCTATAGCCATAACAATTAATTATCTTACTTACGTATGTGAGAGTGCGCATTTAAAATGACTATGGTGTTTTCTTAAATTCTTGAATAGTTCTTATAAAACTTACGATTAAATAAATTAATTAAATTAAATAAAGGAGGAAGTTCTAACAAAATAATTCGAAGTGGTCTGTATTCTGTCGAAACTGCCAGACGCGGATCGCGATTTCGATCTTTTTGGATCTCATCAGCGCGTCGCAGGCAGCTCCGACAGAACACAGACCAACCTTTACCTGCTGTCTTAACAGCGCGTTTTAGCGCATATTTTTAAATGGACCTTGCTGGAGCATACGTAATCCTAAAATGTAGCATCGTACTACAGATGGCGCTCACCACGCCATTTGTGGTATTTTCTAAAACGCGCTGTTCTACTTCGACGTGTGTGTACTTTTTTTAATGTACGTATATATGCACGCGAATTACTCCGAGATCCTTCGCAATCAATTTGCGCGATTTCTTTTCCATTTGAAAGAGGATTTTCATAAAAATTGACCCAGCAGTTTTTTCTTATTAAATTAACTAGTTCCTCCCCCCTAACAGTCACTGTGAGTGAACCACCATTGCTTCGAGTGGTCGAAATTAATTTTTGTGAACAATTTGTTCAATCACTTCCTTTGTGTTAAAAATAGTTTGAAAAAAAGAAAGAAAAAATATATTTTCAAAAAAAGAGAACAAAAATGAATGCCATTTTTCCTTTTTACACACTCGTGTATTGGTTAACCGTTTTTAACTGTTAATAAATAAATCGATAATATAATTAAGCATTAAATTATACATAATCACCCAAAATTGAATATCTGCTTAAATAAAGAAAACTCTAAACGTTTTATGGTAAATATTCTTGGATTTAATTTAATAAAATAGACCTTGTATTCTGCTAATAAATCCAAAAATATTTACTACAAAAAGTTGAAAATGGAAAATTCGTGTATATCATATAATTCCATAAAAATCGAATGTGATTTACTATTCGTATCCGCAACATTTTCGAAATACCACAGTGTTTAACCAATAAAGAAAGTCCTCAATCATATTGCTTATAAACATAAGCACTTCGATTACCAAATTAATAAAATGAAAAAAAAACTAGGGCAAATTAAAATCGGTAACCGGAAAACAAGAGTGAAATGCGCCTCAAAACTAGATTAAATATTATCTGTTAATTAAAAAGGATACAGCGAAAGTGGAACTAAAACCGTGTTCGAAATTTAAAAGCTATTGGATATTCGCCATAGCTTAACTGTTGTCTTTTTGGATTGTAACGGTAAACGTTTGTTTTACCTAAATATGTATTATACGTATATCTAGATGCTACCTGTTAGTGTACAAGTCGTCCATGACCGAGGAAATTTAGGAAGTGAAAAAGTATTAATCTAAAAACGTATTTAGTGGTATTGGCTTTTGGTAGGTGGAACATGGTAAATACATAGTTATAAAAGCAGGATTCTATTCTTGAGGCAGTCCCTCCAGAATTGAGACAGGGGTAGTGACGAGCAAAACAAAACCAAAAACAAGACTATTCCAGTCTTGGCCTTGTCTTGGTTTTGCTGATATAGCCTCGGTCTTGATCTTGGTCTTGCGTGTTAAGTCTTCATCTTGCTCATTTAATCTGATACGTTTCTTTTAAAGAATTCTTCTAAGCACAAATTTGTCTATTTACCGACACAACAACTGTCTTAAATGCTGAAATTTTCTGTCATACATGCGAACTTTTCAAGACCTTTAAAGAAAATAGTGTTATGAAAACTAAAGAATTTGCCCTTCCTCCAATGCATAAATTGATGTTTCCTCCAACGTATAAATTGACCTTTTAGCGAACAAAATAATGTAAGGTATAAGATATTCGGGCATAGGAACAAGAAACACTTACTCCAAGGACATTCTTGTAGATCTCTTTTTTAAAACAGTGATAAAGTTTCTTTTTTTTATATTTAGTGTTAAAATCTAGTAATGCAAACTGAAGGATTTTGTTGATACGGTTTGATCGACATCTCGTACGGTTAGCAACTCTCCAGTTTCAGTCCGGAGACTCCAGAAGAATTAAGTTTTCTCCGAAAGTTTTTATTATTTAAAACAATTAAATAAAATGACTAATTAATCTACCAATTGGTTACTTTATTAACTATCCAAAACGAATAAACTTTTTTTGAACATTTATATATGTATTTATTAAATGGATGTCTCCTGACTTATTCCAACGATCTCCAGACTTTCTGAAATTTTGAGTTGGCAACTCTAACATCTAGACAAAATGAAATTTTTCTCAGATTCAACCTCAATACAAGCATAATTAAAAATTGAAAGTGGGTATTTATTTCTTACAAATTAGTGCAATTACGTAGCACTCATTCGATTAATTATTTTTCACTGGTATCTATAAAACGTTATTATTGGTTTGGATCATTTTCTGTTTTTGTTTTTCCGCGATGTGCAGTAAAACGAGGGGAATATTAAGTGACGCAAGTCGTTAATTATCCTTTTGTTATGATTGTTCGTGATGTAGACCTTAACCTTCCGAAATGTGTTCTTCGAATCCGCCGATTTATTTGCACAAGCATCAAAATTGATTTACAACACTCACAACTAACTATTAAGATCAAAGCAGACAAATTACAGTCATAAATTGATCACGCGCATCTTTGTCGAGCAATAATATGTTTATAATTTGTTAAAGAGAGATAGAAGTACAAAAGCGTGCATAAATCCTACCAAAAACACTTGTCGGTGTTTATACTGAACGACTACAAGCTGTCTGGTGTTAAATCGTTTTCAAATAGCGATCAAACGCGTGTTTGTTTGAAAAGAGATGGCCACTATTGTATCTATTGTTAAAGACGAAAATGGGGGTAGTTTAGGTGAATGATTGCGTCTGTTCAAATCATGCTGGATCATTGCCAAATGGAAACTTACGCTATTAAAATTGAGGCAGGGGGAGTTGTGATCTTTGTTTTTACAACAGTTTATTTATATTTTGCAGATTTACCCGAAGAAGAATCAGTCGCATCCAGCAGCTTGTAAGAGAAGCAAGTCAATTGGAGAGAGATTAATTCTACTGCGTAAAGAGAGACGAAAAGAAAAAAGTCAATAAAGTGCATGTTATTAGTGTTGTTTGTTTCGTTAAGATTATGAATAAAGTTTAATAACGGCTAGTAAAATGACTTTTGTGGACTCTGGCAACGGCCACGATTAAAAATGAAACAGTTTTTAAATATGGAATCATTGCGTATCACGTCAATTCTGGTACTTCTTTACACCTGTTCGGTTTCTTCGTTTCCGTCTCGTCCATTAAACGAAAGATCAGCCGATTTGGCTTGGCAGGCCTGGTTACTAGTTGACGATCAAAATCAAGAGAAAAACTACGGCGCTGAAGCCCTTGGACGTCGCAGAATCACCCCCAAATCAGTATTTATTGCACCCACGTTCAGTCCGGAAAGTTTGCCGCCCTGCGCCAGTGGATATCAGTCAGATAGCATGGGACGGTGTGTGAAATTGATTGAAATTGATCAGGAAGCTCATCTCGATTTTCTTTTGCAAAAATTGAACGAAAGATTCGGATATGAAGAATATTCGAGAGAAGAGGATGACGAAAAGTCACCGTCGGGTCCCGTACAACTGAACATCCCCCTAGACGAGACGCCCACAGGAGTAGAAAGTGAATTGGAAAAGTTTGAAGAAAATATTGACGTTGCCATCGTTGTGACACCCACGAATGGAAGGTTCAGTTTCGACGGTGACGATGAGAATGATGACATCAAGAAGAATCGGAAAAAGAGTGGAGAGGAGTTTAACGATATGAAAAATGTAAGGTGAGTTCTAATAAGGCAACTAAATCATCTTTACTAACGGGTTCCTAATATCCTTCCTACGCATTCCTTTGAAAACAGACACTTGTTTCTTGTACCATCTTTATCGTCAAATTTAAACAAAATGATTTTATTGACGCAAAAGAATATGTATTTTGTAATAAATGAATTTTTAAAAAAGCTAATACCACATATTGATACACCATTCTGATTTTTAAACATCGAACATGTGTCTGTCTGTGGGTTTTTTTGAAACAAAGCAGTTTCAGAATGGGAGAACCAATTTCTTGTGTGAATGTGTTTTGAACTTTTGATGAGATGGGGTTTTGCTTTATTTACTGAATTAGGTTTAGCTGTTTCCAAAATCTTTAGCTTTAGTAGCAGTTTTGAAAAAATATTAGTCAATTTCGAATTCGTGCTCCAATGTTTATTTGCATTGTCCAGTTTTTATAATCATGCATTTGAACGTTTTTGTTTAAAACGCATTAGCTTTTTGTGTTAGGGTTTTTAGATATTGATAAAATTTCGCTAGTATACACAAAAGATACCTGCCTATATATGAAAAGGTAAATAGTTATATCAATAAGCCTTTAAACCATGTTCTATTATTTTATTATGGGAAATAATATGTAGAAACCCAGACCCACAATGTGAAAGAAATACAATAATAATTAAATTCTTGTCTATTACTATTATTAATTAATTCAAGATACTTTAGAAGCAATTAAAATTATTAATTTTCTTTGTTAGATTTTAAATAAAAAACGTAAACACCTAAATAAAAATATTTCCCAATAAAAAATTCTGAAATCAATTCAAAAATCGAAAAATTTAATTTTTGCAAATAGTTTAGTTGCTATCCGTTTCTTCCCCTCGCGATCTTGTAGGAGTCTCTTCGTTGTTAGTTATAGATATTCAAATTTCGTTTTTACGGTTCATTTTGGGACAAAAATAGTAAGATCCCAATTGTTTTACTGTACCTACGTGTTTATTTTATATATTAAACTCTAGAAAGTACCAATAACCGATCTAATTTATTTAAAAATTTAAACTGAACACGTTTTCACTTAATTAAATTGGCTTTTCTATCAAATAGTTTAGTTAGTATCTTTTTTTTTAAGTTAGGAAAAACGGAATTCAATTTTTTGTAACAATAATCTTCAGTGAAACTGATTCTCAATTTAACGACTTTATTATCCAATGAACTAAAACCGTACTTAATCACTTTTTTTAATCGCTACAAGCAATAAATTTTTTACCGATTAAGAAAATGAAAGCACTCTTCTCAATCATTTTTCAATAACAGACGAACATTATAAACAAAACGATAATAAAATATAGTTCGAAAAATGAATTTACGATTAGTGTACTTCATGCAGATACGTCTGTACGTCCATTATAATGGAAACAAACGAATAATTTGCACTCTTTACTAATCATTTATCGTATTGGGCGTCATGGGCGTAGCAAGACATTCTTCCTATGGGGGCAGAAAAATAGTTGCAACTTTATGTAGGTTTAACGTGTTTGGTTTCTATGTTTTTAAACGTTGTAACGATATAGTGACTCATCAATGCCTTTTCCAGGGGCAATGAGCTTGCTATGGGGGGGGGGGGCAGCATCCAAATGACATTCGGGGTTGTGAGCTTTGCTGATAAAACAGCTCCATGCATTACAGTTTTTTTTTTGAAAAATTTTGATCTTTTTGCAAGGCAATATATTATATATGCATACAGGAGAAAAAGTGTAAAAAATTAAATTGCTTAAAACTCGAAAGTAACAGTACCAATAATTTTGTCAAAAGTCTACTCATACACTTTAGGATTCTAAATGTATAAGGAGGTCTTCTTTAACATACAAACTTGCAAATGAGAAGGTATAATAGTTTTTGAGTTATATGAGGGGCGGATTAGTAAAGATTCGCGTAATACTCCCTTTTCTCTTTTTCTAACTTGGTTGTCACAATGTACTTAAATATCAATAGTATGGTTGAAAGATACTGTGCACACATCCAACAACTTCTGTACTAAATTTTTTTATCTTTGCAGAAATTCAAATCACGAAGACCTCACCATAAAATCAGAAAATTTTCCGCTTATACCTGATGATATCAATCCGACCACCAATCCTATCAAAGCATTGACTGATTTGGGGTATTCCATGGACAGAACAACTGTCTACGAAAGAACTGAATCTGCAGGCCTGAATACAGAAGACGCCACTACAGAGTCTCTACCAACCGAAACGGCTACTAATACTCAACAGGCTCTATTCTTTCGTGAACCCGAAGAAACCGAGGACCGCAATTCAAACTCAAATAATGTAGAGACAACAACAATTGACAATACAGCAAGCAAACAAAATGACCCTAATCGATTTATCGATCCGCTCAATATGAGAACAACGACCGATTCGCTAAGTACAAATACCGAATCATCAATTCAGAAACGAACGACAGAACAATATCAGGAAACTGACACAGATTTACCCGAACATCATAGACGTCACAATTTCCATCACGATCACGATCGCATAAACGAATTTCGAACAAGTACGTATCGTCCACATGTATCAATACGATTTCCCCTAACCGACATTGATACTACGACAACGAAAAAAAACCTCGAAAATTCTTATCACCAGAACAAACCTATACATAATGTACAAATGTACGCAAACAGATTCCAGCATCTGCCCACAACGCAAAAATATATTAAACCAGGAGAAACTGTCGATGCTGGAAACACACCACGGCCAGAATTCGTCTTCAAAAATAGGGATCCCTTGGCAGATGAAAATTTTCGAAGAAGCCTAGGGATCGAACCGGAATATGACCGTTTCCAAATAAAGACCGAAGAGCATAGTAATTTCCCTTCTAAAACTAGGAGAAATATTGATAACAGGAAAATTAATACCTGGTTCTTAACTCCAGCAGATTTAACTAATTCTAGTCCGCACAAACCTCTAGTATTCAGATTCCCTCACAAAAGTGGTAGTAGACGATTATTATCAGAAACTTTACAACAACCGCAAAAAACAATTTACAGGGAAATGTCGCCTGAAGACCTTAAAGTGCTTTTTGGAAATCACAGACACAAACGGAAGTCAGAAAGATGATCCAAACTTTTTAGTATTGTATTGTCATTGAAGTGATTTTAAGGTGAGGAGATTAGAAAATTTCCAGTTACCTCACTATTATTGTAAGTTTAATAATGTGTTTGCAAAGTGTACACTTTTATTTATTTACATTTCTATATTAAAAAATGTAAAGAAAACTACTAAACCTACTTAGTTATCACTGTGACATCTAACAACTTGCGCATACACCGATCAGTTTTAGTCACTATGTAGCACCACCAATCGTTGACCCTACGATGCATGATTTTGATGATAAAGCTGGATTTTTCCAATTTCTATGTAAATTGTAGATGATGCTGATTAATGTAAATATAGTATTTCGTAATCACTTAAGTAAATACTAGAATAATGATTTTATTTATTGATTGTAAATTTTGCGTATTAATGCCCTACCTGCCCACTAGTAGTAATTATTAATGTACTAATCTAGAATAGTATATTTATTTAATTTAGCATTATTTATACGACATGTGTAGCACTGTGTACCTGGTATATCTAACTTGTAATTGATTTTTATCGCTGTACGACTTGTATTATTATGTAAAGTGTAAAGTTAACATTTATAATTAAAATATTACTGTACTGTCTATTAATCATTGAATTTTATTTTAAAACGAACTAATTTCTTTTTAGACTACCTAATAACAATTCTTGGACAAAAATTCTTATGTTGCGGAAACAATTTCTTTTCGACTATCTTATTTACTTTAAGGTGTTTATTAATATGAAATGGGTAATAAAATAAAATAATCAAATACAAGCTAAAATTTTTGCTACTTGGATAAAACAAGTGCAAACATTAAAAGACCAAAATGTATCGCAATCAGATAATGTGTGTGTTACCTTGTCAGAAACGACTTTAAACTGTTATACTGTTTTTAAATTATCAAGATTAGCTAAACTTATTAATTAATGAGAAATGCCAGCTTAAATGAAATTTACTACATAACGATAATATGACAATAAGAACCTTTAGAAGTTATTTTGTATTTTTATATAAGCAGACACCAGAGGCATCAAACAAGCCAGAATGTTAAAAAAAGTACTACCCATATGTAGGTATTTTAAACATATATCCTAGTTAAGTTTTCAAAACTAAACGCTCCGTATATTTTATTTTTTGATAATCTACGATATCCCATAATTGCACATTTATTAATTACAAGGTATATCGAGTACCTAACATACGGTTGCACACAAATAAATAATTGATATTAATTTTACTGCTCATTTTTAGTAGTAGATACAGCTTGTCAGGTAGATGCCTTTGTAAGACCTTATCATGCATTTGAAATATTGCTATTAACAGCAAATATCACTAGATGGAGATATGTGTACTTACTTGTCGTTTTTAAAGCACTTGTAACGCTAACTAACATTACTTTTTAACTATTTGGACAACTAAATAAAACGGTAGATGTAATAAAAGACTGCGTAAAATAAAGAACATTTCGTAGAACATTTTAATCTTGTTAATTAAATGCTTCTTTGTCTATCTAAATCTTAGAAGTTAGGTCATATTTTGATTTAGAAATGATTTTGATGTGCATCCTAACGAAATCGATATCATTTTGTTTTCTTTTGAATATCAAAAAAACCTTCTTTTGTAAAATATGAGAATTAATTAAAAATAAAAAAGTACTTAAGCTTGCGCTTCTTTGATTGTTAATAACTAAAAAATCACCACAACCGTTTTACAAATGGCAACTATAAATGCATAAATAACGCAAGAACAAATTAATTTACTTATATATTTGGATTAAAAAGCAACTTAGTAAAATATCTAAATTTTGTTTATTAAGTTATTTTCAATGCTTGTACATCAATTTTAAACAAACACCAGTAATTTAACATAACTAACACATCACGTTTTACAAAGACCTTTAAAATTTCTTGCTAATAAATATATTTCGGCTGAATCGGAGCGACTTGCAAGTGGCTTAACAATCTTAAAAGTTTGAAAGTACTGTGAAACACTTTGTTCTAAATCTTTCAGATATTTAGACTGCCACAATTTAATTAAAAAACATGCATTCACTTCGCAAACTTGTAATGCAAACCTTAAAGCTAAATAGCACAAGTCTGCCATTTTATCATCATCCATTTCTTTTATGCCTGATGCACGAGGTGCCATATCTGATAAAAATACGTTTACTTTTCGGCCTTGCAAGGTATCTATTAACTTTGCATGTGTCTCTTGTTGTGTAAAATCGGCATTTCCTATAATAATAGCGCCCTGTTTAAAAATTAAATAGCTTTAATACAAAGCAAAACTAGAGTCAGTCATTCAAATAAGACAGTTAAATGAAAATATCTATTAAAATGAGTTATTCCATGTGAAATCGTTTAAGGGAGGCTATTGAGATCCCTTTACGAAATGGCATGTATGAGGACCATCTTGTGGCAGATTGAACTAGACTTTAATTTCACTTTCATAGGATATTTGCAGCATGTTAAAATTAACAACATTGTTAACCCAAACAAATTTAAGATAAGTTACAGTATTACATTAGGGTTGAACTCTAATCCAACTCTGTTTCTGTAACCCAAAGGGTGCACTTTCTGATTCACTTCCCTTTTACAGGCTTTCTCTGTAGACTCCTTTAACAATCGATTATGTTAAATTTTGTAGAAATTTTGCATCAATCTTCGCCTATAAATACAGTAAAAAATCGCCCTCTTATTAAATTTTTGTTTTGCCAATCTGCCTTCTTCTTAAAACCAAAGCAATTATTGATTTTTACAGTAAAAGGTCTCATTTTTTTGTCCCATTTAAAGGTATAAGGTATACTCCTATAAAAATTTGACAAATTACACCAATTGTTTTGTACTAAGAAAGCATTTTGGAAACCTCAATTTGAGCAGCTAAGCAATTGAAATTTCTAAGCACATTATACCCTACTACAGTAGGCATAACAATTATTAGTAGCTTGTTTCATAAATCATTGAAAAACTGTAACATTGAAAATCCTCAAAAATAAGCACCTTTTGTATTCAAGAAAATAGAAATCTTTAGAAGTTCTTTCTTTAACTCTTAGGAATTGATGAGGAAATTTAGATTGAACATTGTCAGTATCAAAAATAGTTAATTTCTAAATCTAGACAGATTCACATAGAATAATTCAGTAATAGTTAATGGCAAATTTTTGAATAAAGAACAGTACTGCAATATATGGACCAACTGTTCACAATCTAACAAAATAAGTATTTATTCATAAAGTCTACATACTTCTATTGGATATATGGGTTGTTTATCGATTGAAATAACAATTCCACGTGGTTCTTGAGGATTTAATGCAACCGCATTAACCCTTTTCACTGCAACTTGGGTCCAAGATCCAGGAGCTGCACCACAATCAATTACAACTTGCCCAGCAGTTAGAAATCTATATTTATCATCTATTTCTATTAATTTAAATGCACTTCGGCATCTGCAATGTGACAAATATATACACATATAAATGAGTATACTGATATTGAAAGATTAATTACCTTAAATTCATTGTTTTTGATTTTTCTACATAAGGATCAGAAAGTTGTCTCGTTAACCATCGTGTAGAACTAGAATTTTTACCATTCTTTGCTATTACTTTTTTACAGTTAATTGTAGATAGATGAATATCTCTCATGTGTGTGAAATTACGCAAATTTTTAATTGTACTTCTGCTAGCATTCATTTTTACTTTTAAACCATGAGTTATAACCACTAACTCAAAAACATCGATAGGTACTCTACAAATTAATTAAAAATATACCTTTCCTTTTTCTGCATTCTTAATTTCAATGCAATTTCAAATAAAATCAGTTTTTTATTATTCTTAATAATCGAGCTATGACTATCACAGTTTAAATGAAGGTTAGGGTTTTCTGATTTCATATCATTTAACAGTATTCCACAACACACCATAAAAATATGGTAAAAATTATCTAGAAGTTTTTAGGAATGTAAAATGACAAGGTGGTTTTGCTCTGTCTTTAAAAAATTCAACATTATTTTCAGAAAATTGTAAAAAAACTCATAAACATTACAAAAAAAGTTTATTTACTTAAAGATGTCAAAAAATTCCTACCATTATTTTCTCAAATAAATGTTTTAACTTTTTTGACACTTAAAAACATCTTAGCAATAAACTACATGTACATTTACTCTTCAAGTCACATTTCATACAGTATCAATTAACATATTCAACATATTCACAATTTAAATGATGACTATAAATTTTCATCATGGAGATATGAAGTGGCTATCCTTTCCAAATCATCAAGACTAAGACTCTGCACATTTGCTTCAAAATCTTTCATGAATTCTTTTAAAATTAGATTAATTTGTTCTTCATTGTAGAATTTCTGAAGATATCGACTTAAGACAATATTAAGTGATTCTGGCTTCTTAATAATAAGATGTAGTTTAGTTCCGTCTTTTATTTTATCATAGAAAGCAATTGTTTTATCGTCACGAAGTGATTTACCAAGAAGTACTAGCGTTTGCTGATTTACAGGAACTTTCAATTCTTTTTCGATTAGATTTTTTACATCCAAAATTTTCATGTCCTGATTAACGTCCAAAACTGCTCCATCTCCGTTTAATACTCTCACGAAAATTTTCATCTTAATTTATCTTATATATTCGCTTTTTGTAATGCTCAAAATACAACAATGTACAACAACAGTTTCTTAAATAATCAATATTTCCATTTTGTTTGTGTTATTAACTGTTTTTATGTATGTTGACAACCATATTGACAACCATTTGACAACACAACTAAGACTATAGATACTGACACGACCATAGATCAAGACATGACTGACATATTACGAATAGTGATTATTACCAAAGCCTGACTATGGTATGACTAGAGATCATCCACAGATCGTAGTCTTATTGTTTAAACTATTACTTTGCCAATGGTTTATGAATGTTTCTGACAAATTATTTGTGATTAATTAATTTTTTTTCTGTAACATGCATTGTAATTACGAGCATATAAATAAATAAATTTATTTAAATCACTTTTTGTGAGTTGCAATTTCAGTACATTCAAAACATTAAAAACAATGTCCAACAATTTGAACAAATTTCGTAAATATGACATCAAAGGACATTTAAAACTATGATATAAGTTAGAATTTTAACCCATCCATGCAAAATCACATTCTTCATCAGACCCTATATCACTAATCGGACTTGTATCCAAAATACCAGGACTTGACCTCCCACCAAAAGCAATATCCGAGTGATATTCACTTCTAGTAGGAGTTTCTGGATCAGGCCAGGTAGGCATAAAAATTCTACTACCACGAGATGTCCTATAACTTGGAGCTTGAACAGGCATTCGAGAAGCCTCTCCTGATAATCTGGGTCTTGTGGGTGTTCTAGAATGAGTACGTTCCGGTGAAGGACTACGTACTAGTTGAGGTGGGGAAGTACCTTCCAAATTTTGAGCACCTTCAATTGGAATTGGTAGTGGGATTTGACGAGGTGTCTGTCTTGGTGTTTTAATACGTTGTTGGGGGGGAGAACTGCATACCAGTTCGGGTGGGGAAGTGTCAAGTACGCCATCAGCGTCTTGATAAACAGTGGGAAGTGCTATTTGCCTTGGAGATCTTTTACGCGTATCTGTTGGACTGCATACTAGTTCAGGTTGAGAAATATCGAGAAGACCCTCAGTGTCATGATACAGACTTGGAAGTGGGATTTGTCTTGGGGATGTTATAGGCGGACTTGCAATAAAAGAAGGAGGGGACATTCCACTAAGAGGGGAATATTGTTCGGCTTGCTGTGTCATTGAGCGAAATTCAGGAGGAGATCTTTGTGGAGGAGTTTGTACAAAAGGCGGAGGTGACTCATCACTTACTCGTGCTCTACCTACTGGCGTATGTTGCACAGTTGTTTCAATTCTTCTCACAGGTACGCCATCAACCATTTCTTCTGTAATTTCTGTAACCACTGGCGGTTTAACTGACCTTTGCCGTCTCTGGCCATAATCGGTCCATAAATCAAATTTGGGAACATTAAGAGGTAGTGGTTCTTCACGAACTAATCTTGGCGGAGTGCTCCAACCAGGAACTCCAGCTTCATGTAGCACATCATCCTCTTCACGTTCTATAAATCTGCTCTCTGGTCCAGAAGATTGTTTGTGAATTCTTCGTCGCTTTCCAGACGTCTTACCCAATACTACATCCACATGGCGTCTATCTGACGGTCGTACAGCTTTTTCTCGAACTTGACGTCTCAATTGCCTTAGATCTATTTCCGGTGAAGGCGGACTAGTAAGAGGACAAATAGGCGAAGTATGGGGCGACTGGGTAGGAATTGAAATGGGCACAGGAGGACTGGATGCTGGAAATAATCTTCTTCGTATTTGAATTGGGCTACCACTGCCTATATCGTATTCCTCTACTTCAGGAATTGGTTGATCTGGACTAAATGGAGGTGGACTCTCCCCTGATAAACCAGGACATACGTCCTTTGATAAAATGCCCTGCAATATTTTACCGTGATCTTCTGGCTCAGTGGGCAAATCTTCTTCCGAAGAAATGTCTTCGAACTGTGGTGGGCTTTGCGCTACCAACTCATCCAAATGTTCTCTTTGAGCTATAGCCTGTAGTTGCGGTTGAAAGCATTCATCAGATGGAGGTGGGCTTTCNAAGATGGCGACGCTTTATGTGGCAACGATGTTGTTACTTTGGTTTCTGTTCTTTTTACTGGTACGCCATCCACATAATCGTCCACTATTTGAGAGAATAGCTCTTCGGGGGGTCTTTCGTCGTCCAGTTGAGGCTCTGGTACAGGTCGCGAAGGAGCATGTGATGCATCCCATACTTCCCTAATTCTCTGAGGTGGTGAAAGTACAGGTTTCGCTTTTAAACGTGGTGGAGTTTGCCACCCAGGGACGCGTTCTGGTGAAGCATATTCTTCCTCCCTTTCAATAAAGGTACTTTCTGGAGCAGGAGATTTTCTTTTTATACGTCGACGCTTCGCGGATGTTTTACCCAACACTACATCCATATGAGGTTTATCCCTTGGTCGCACTGCCCTCTCCTGTATTTCACGTCTAAATCGTCTTAAGTCTATTTCCGGTGAAGGAGGACTGGTAATGGGACAAACGGGTGTACGATGAAGCGGTGGTGTAGGACTTGTCGAAGTCTGCGTTGGAATTTGGAGAACTGGTTGTGTCGCAGTGGTAACAGGAATGGGGGCCGAAACAGGTGATGAAGGGCTGCTAGGTGGAAATAACCTTCTTCGTATTTGAATTGGGCTACCACTACCAACATCGTATTCCTGTACTTCAAATGAAGGTTGATCTGGACTGAATGGGGGTGGACTCTCCCCTGACAGGCCAGGACATACTTCCTTTGATAAAATGTCTTGCAATATTTTACCGTGGTCTTCTGGTATGGCGGGCAGTTCTTCCTCCGGGGGAAAGTCTTCAAACTGTGGTGGGCTTTGCGCAACCAAGTCTTCAAAATGTTCTCTTTGGGCTATAGCCTGTAGTTGTGGTTGAAAGCATTCATCAGATGGAGGTGGGCTTTCTACAAATTCAATATCCGATACATCGTGGAGGCCTTTCGGAGAAGGTGTCGATACTTTCGTTTCAACTGTTCTTACAGGAGAGCCATCCACAAATATTTGCTTTCTTTTAGTGTAACTGGGTGAAGTTGATGGCCCTGGGCGAGGTGATTCTTGTCTAGAGGAACTGCGCTTCTTTGGAAATTTTTTTCTTTCGTATTGAAGATGTGGTGGTGTTTTCCAACCAGGTAATCGAGATTGTCCTATTGGTGAGGGTAATCCGAGTGGAACATCCTCATCCATAATACGGGGGCTTCTCTCCCTGATTGGAGTTGACGTAATGGGAACCTCATGACCCATTAAATCTTCCGGAAGAGGTTGTTGAGGCGGTCCAGGCCACTCAGCATATTTTTCAAGTAAGCCATCACCACAGAAAGGAAATTCTTCAACCCTTCCCAAACCTGGAACGTATGTTCGGCGATATCTACCATATCGTTTAACGCGTTTTGGTTTTCCACCTCTTGTTCTGCCGCAAACTACATCCCACTCGAATTTCATATCTCTGAAGGGTCTCGCACCTCTCCTTACCTCATCCATAACTTGCTCGCCCTCTCTAGAGGGCCGATAAAACAATAAGGGGGGTGAGCGTGCCCTAGAAGTAGATGGAATGCTTACAGGAAGTCCATGGGTAGGCGATCGACTAGTTATTGGCCGAGGTGATGTAGGTGATGTCGGTACTAAATCAACTTCTTGTTCATCAAGTATGTCTCTCTCTGGTGATCTGCAAACGATGTCTTGAAGATTTTGGTCTGCTTGTAGATCCACCCTTTGTTCCATTTCTTCATCATCAATGAGTCTAGGGGGAGATTCGTCTAGAAGAGCAAAAGGTTCTTCACGGGCGATAGTCGTAGGACTTCTTGGCTGAAATTGACAAATTGGTTCTTTTTGAGGCAGTGCGGTGGTTACTTTTGTTTCGGTTCTTTTTACTGGTACACCATCAACGTATTCATCAACTATTTGAGTAAATAACTCCTCAGGCGGTTGTTCATCATCAAGTCCAGGTCCTTGCACCGGTGGTATAGGTTTATCTCGAATGGCAATCATAGGACAAACCGGTCTAGGTGAAGATGGCGACGCTTTATGTGGCAACGATGTTGTTACTTTGGTTTCTGTTCTTTTTACTGGTACGCCATCCACATAATCGTCCACTATTTGAGAGAATAGCTCTTCGGGGGGTCTTTCGTCGTCCAGTTGAGGCTCTGGTACAGGTCGCGAAGGAGCATGAGATGTATCCCATACCTCCCTAATTCTCTGAGGTGGTGAAAGTGTAGGCTTCGCTTTCAAACGGGGTGGAGTTTGCCACTCAGGGACGCGTTCTGGCGGAGCATAATCTTCTTCCCTTTCAATAAAGGTACCTTCTGGAGCAGGAGATTTTCTTTTTATACGTCGACGCTTCGCTGATGTTTTACCCAACACTACATCCATATGAGGTTTATCCCTTGGTCGCACTGCCCTTTCTTGTATATCACGTCTTAACTGTCTTAAGTCTATGTCTTCCGTTGGTGATGCTTTAACAGGACAAATTACTTTTGGTGAAGTGGGTGTGGTGGGAAGGCTGGTTGACTGAGGAACATCGTCGCAAATCGTTCTTGGTGGTGATTTTGAAGTAGTAGGTGATGGTGAAGTGGATGGTGGAGAAAATAGCCTTCTTCTAGTATGTGAGGGACTTCTCATATCGATTTCTTCACTTATTTGAGGCAATTCGCAAGGACTTAGAGGTGGAGGGCTTTCGTCAAGTAATTCTGGATATTCTTCTTGTGAAATAATTTTCTGAAGTGCTTGATGCTGTCTATCATCTTCTAAAGGTGATATTTGTTCTTCGTCAGGTAATAACTCGTCGAACCTAGGTGGAGACTCAGAAGTTAAAAAATCTGACGATACTCTAGACCTTCGCGGACTTGGTGATTTTCTAGGTAAGGTTACTGGTAACCCGGCAGATTCCGCTAATTCATTTTTAATTCTCTGTATGTCATCCATAACCTTTCCTAACCGCCTGTTAAGGTCTTTTTTTTCCTCTTCGTCTTTTGCATATTCTATTTCTTGGTCAATAAGTTCAGGTGGAGTTTCGTCTTCAAAAAATTTTGCATCGGCACCAGTTGGCGAACGAACTAATCCTGCAAAGGAAGTTTCGTTGTCGAGTCTGAATATTTTACGCAAATTTGAAGAAATATTCTTTTAACACGGGTACCTAAATCTTTAAGTGTTTCTGCACCTTCCTGCCAAACTTCATCGGCGCTTACTCCAAATTCTTCAGGTTCATAAACGGTCCCTTCTGCTTCGTCCCTTATAAATTTGAATCTACTAAACATTGGTGGAGTCGTTGGAACATCAGGTCGCCTATGCTTTTTATCTGCAAAATAATGCCCGAAATTATATATAAAATACTTATTTTTCATACAGACATTCTTCATATTTGTCGTATTCGTCTCCTAACATAAGTCTTCTATATTGCTCTTTCGTTAGTGGTTGAACTTGTGATGCAGATTCGCATGGGGGAGGTAAATCTTGCCGGCTTGTGGATGGTCCTGCTTCAGATGGTACAGTTTCGGGAAGTGTTCGTGGTGGTTCTTCTGTAATTGCTATTAACGAAAATAATATAATGTACACGTTTGTAGTACATAGATACTTGTTTGTATTTGCAAATATGCAAACATGCGTTCATTTCTGTCCGATATCCTTGCCTTTATATTTAATAGCTTAATTTTTCTCTAAATATATATATAACCACAAGGATCAATTGTAGTTAACGTACTTATTTGTGTGTGTTTATTTCATTTTACCATCATTAAACTTCAACAATTTCTAAGGAATTATGCGGAAAATGTTTCTAAAATTTTTCGTATTATTTAGTAGTATGTGATTGCCGAAAAATCCTGATGTGATAGATAAAAATAAGTCAAATTAATAGCAGCCTAAAAACTCTCCAATATAGTTATAAAATCAGAGGGAACGGACAAAAAAGTAAGAGAATTTGTGTTGTTGATTAGATACTAACGTGGAGCTTGACTCATGTCAATTTTTCGTTTTAGTCGTTCTCTTGCTTGAGTTCGATCAGTGTATCTTATTCTTGGTGTACGGGAAACATTTTCCGGTGATCCTCCTGTAGGTGTTCTTGTACGAAAAACATATTTTGGTGGTTCTTGCCCTCCTGTAGGTGTTCTTGTTGTAGGAGAAACATATTCCACTGCTAATATATAATCATACATAACAATCCTTTGAAATGTTAATACTACAGTTGTCATTGTGGTGATGAAATATTAGTGTTTCTTTCGTAAGAAAAAGAGTAATATTTATTAAATTGTTGTTTCAGTTTGTATAGTACATGTTTCCCAATAGTCAAAATTAGTGTTTTTTTTAGCTTAAATTAACTACTCCAATCTACAACGAAATCAATCCTCAAGTTTTAACTACTAATATTTGTAGATTTTGTGCTAAAAACAGTAAATATACCATACAATGGGAATTTTTGCTTATTTTCGATTTTATTTTTTCCTGTATGCTCTATGCGAAGATGATTTGGTAAAAAATTTAAAAATTTTGAATTTATAATTGTATTCCAAATCTGTACATGTCTTACTCTAATAAATCGATTATTTGATTTCGATTTTATACCTATTGCTATAGAGACATATTATTTAGCTGCTATTAACGAGATTAATGTAATGTACAAGTTTGTAGTAAAAAGATACTTGTTTGTATTTGCAAATATGCAAACTTGCGTTCATTTCTATCCTCTATACTTGCGTTTATATTTAATAACTAATTAACAAACCAAAAGGAACAATTTTAGTTAACGTACTTATTTGTGTGTATTCATTTTACCTGGTCAACCATCATTAAATTTCGACAATTTCTAAGGAATCTTGCGAAATGTTTTTAAAATTTTTCGTATTATTTAGTAGTATGTGATTGCCGAAAAATCCTGATGTGATAGATAAAAATGACCCAAATTCGTTAATAGCAACCTGAAAACCCTTCAATATAGTTATAAAATTAGAGGAAATGGACGAAAACGTAAAAGGATTTGTATTGTTGATTAGATACTAACGTGGAGCTTGACTCATATCAATTTTTCGTTTTAGTCGTTCTCTTGCTTGAGTTCGATCAGTGTGTCTTATTCTTGGCGTACGGGAAACACATTCCGGTGATCCTTCTGTAGGTGTTCTTGTACGGAAAACATATTTTGGTGGTTCTCGTCCACTTGTAGGTGTTCTTGTTGTACTGGAAACATATTCTGGTGATCCTTCTGTAGGTGTTGTTGTTGTAGGGGAAACATATTCTGGTGATCCTCCTGTAGGTGTTCTCGTTGTAGGGGAAACATGTCCCGATGCTCTTTCTGATGCTTCTACTTCTAATATATCTTCCTTATGATCTTCTTCTAACTGCTGTAAAAGAGTATCCCAGCGACGCATTGCGTCATCAATTTCATTTAATTCTCTCTCCATTTCATCATATTTGTCCATTCCTTCATATTCATCTTCTAACATTTCCACATCTTGTGCAGCTGCTTCCGCTAACTCTCGTTCTAATTCTCTCATGAATGACGTATCCAAATCATCGGGAAGAATTTCATCACCTTCAATGTCCTCAAGTCTACATTCATCTTCTGGAGTTTTAACGTTTTCTACTGTAGTAATTGTTTTTTGAGGAACGCCATCTTTCATAATTGTTTCGGTTGTAGTTTTTTGAACAACAGGTCTTTCGTCTGTTGCAGCATCATCCTGCAGTCGTTGTTCTGAAGGGCCAGGACCAAAGTCGATTCGTCTAGCTGCAGCTGCAAATTTTTTTCTTCTTTCTTCATCAGAAACTTTAGGAGTTTGTCCAGCAATATGCTGTGTTATATACTGCTGCGTTTCACGTTTTACAATGGGAGGCCTTTGAGCTCCCTGCGGTGTGATTGTTGCAGGACAAGGCTGTTCAGGGCTTGGTTTTTTTGGTGATAAGGAAATTTCGTCTACGAAGGACGACGCTAGTTGTGGTTGGCTTTCATCTAGTAAATCACCTTCAATATCATCAAATCTGCGCTGGTCTTCTGAAGCTTTAACAGTTTCCACTGTAGTAACTGTCTTTTGGGGAACGCCATCTTTCATAATTGTTTCTGTAGTAGTTTTTTGTACAACAGGTCTTTCATCTATTGTTGCAACACCTTGTAATCTTTGTTGAGTAAGTGGTGATAAAGGAACTTCGTCTATAAATGACGGTACTAATTGTGGTTGGCTTTGTTCTAATAAATCGCCTTCAATATCTTCAAGTCTGCATTCTTCTTCACTCCAATCTAATCGCCTCCGAACTTTTGCCAGTTCTTCTTGTCTTTTTTTCTTTTCGCTAGAGGATAATCTCATACGGATCCTATCCGGTGCAACGTCCCTTGGAGGTTTTCTCTTCGGCGTTTCAGAGGGTCTTTCTAATGTCGTCATAGCTTTAGAAGATGACGGTATTCTTGAAGATGGCCGTCCTGGTATTTTACTGATAGCTCCCCTAGATTGAATACCGGAAGTGCTGGGTTGGGGAATCGTCTCCGTGGTAACAATTTCTTGTTGTGGTATTCCATTTTTCGATAATACCTCTTTCCTCACTTTCGTTATTACTCCTCCTGGCCTTGGTATTTGTCGTTGAGGAAGACGTCTAGGGATGGTTGTAGTAGTGGTGATTTCTTTTTGTGGAATACCGTCTTTTGTAATTACCTCGTGCTTTACTGCTTGTACAACATCTCTTGGCGACAACGGAACTTCGTCAATAAATGAAGGAGCAAATTCTGGGGCACTTTGATCGAATACTAAGTCATCCATAATTTGAGAGGTTTCAGGTAATGCGGTTGAGCTTGTTACTGGTAATGGTTTAGGTGACAATACAATATCGTCCACAAATGAAGATACAAAATCAGGTAAACTTTGATCTAATGCGAAATCAGCATCTGCTTCTCCTGCGATTTCTTGAAGTCTTTGTTCAGTAGGACAAGGACCGTATTCAAGTTTTCTTGCAGCTTTTTCGAATTTTCTTCTTCTCTCTTCTTCAGGTAATACCGGAGTTCCACCAACATAACGTGTCCTTCTCCTGGCAACTGGGACCACTGGCAATGGAGCTCCTGTAGGAGTAACTTCCTCTGGAGAAGTAGGAGTTGCCAGTGGACAAGGCGAAGGTAGGCGACGTGAAGGAGAAGATTGACGAGGAGAAGAAGGACCAGGAGGGTGTAGAGGAGATGTTTCTCTTTGAGGAGAACCTTGTAAAACCGTCTTAACCGTTTTCACAATTTCTTCTTGAGTAATTGGATCAACTGTCTTCTTTTGTACAGTTCGTGTTATTTTGGTACTTTTCGGCGGACTCATAATTTCGCCAGAGTCTAATAGATCAGGGGGAAGTTCATCATCTAACATGTCACCAGCCATTTCGTCAATTACCGCTTGCTGTTGTTTTAGCGGACACACTGTAGGTGCTGTTGTTGCTATTGGCGAGGAAGGTACAGGACTCATGTCAAGTAATTCTGGTGGTATTTCTTCATCAAGCAAGTCGCCGTCTGCTTCAAATTGAAGATATTTAGAAGGAGGGGTTGGTCGAGTTAATGGGCAAATACTGTCCGCTTTTTGAGTAGGAGGTGACTGTCGTCGAGTAGAAGTCATAGGTGAGGAAGTCACAAAAGGACATACGGCAGGTGAAGGTTTTCCAGGTGACGCACCAGAGATATCAAGAAAACTCGGTGGATATTCATCCTCAAGTATATCTCCTTCAATATCTTCAACTGGTTTTTGAGTATAAGGTGACTGTTTACGAGGAGAAGTCACAAAAGGACATACGGCAGGTGAAGGTTTTCCAGATGACGCACCAGAGATATCAAGAAAACTCGGTGGATATTCATCCTCAAGTATATCTCCTTCAATATCTTCAACTGGTTTTTGAGTATAAGGTGACTGTTTACGAGGAGAAGCCGCAAAAGGGCAAACGGCAGGTGAAGGATGTTCAGATGAAGCACTAGAGATATCAAGGAAACTCGGTGGATGTTCATCCTCAAGTATATCGCCTTCAATATCCTTAACTGCGGGAGACTTCGCACCTGCTTTTGACGAAATTTCTTTTTCGGGTGGCTCTGATACAGTTCCAAGATTAGATCCCCATGAAGGCGACTCACGGTCATCTTCAGGACGAGGACTTCCTATAGGAACAATTGGCACTATAGCTTCCTCATTTTCAGTAGCTCCACTTTTCCCTAAAGTTATAAGAAAGTAAGAAACCTTTCTATAAGAAAATGATTTTAATAGACCTTCTAATTCTGCAATTGATTTCTCTAATGCCGAAATTGTTTTCGGTTTAGATTTATCAGGTGATCTGGGCAAACGAGGTCTTGAAATTTCACCACTCGATAATGGTAAATGGATTCCATGAAGAGCGTCACCATCAAATTCCATAACATCTAGATAAATTATAGGCGAAATTATAGAGAAAATACATACTTCAAATGCTTGCCTTTAGGAAGCTTAACTTTTTCCGATTTATACCATAAAAATATTGGTTCCTTTGAAAAAGCATAGTAACCCTGAATGCCAAAATTAGGTATTTCCTGGGAAGATGCGTATTCCTTTAGATCAGGTGAATATTCTACATAGTATGGAGGAGGTATTTCAGCCTGCCTTCTGCGTTCTGTTAAGTCAGCTTCTAGCAATTGTCTAGCTATATCTTGTAACTACGTGATTTTTAGTCATTTGACCGCATTTTCTAATAGAAAATACAAAATATTACCTTTATTTCTTCAGAAAAGTCCTCCAATTTCTCTATAGTTGACGGATTTTCGGAAAATCTTCCTACTAGTCTTTTCTTTTGGAGGACAAAGAGAAGAACTTTTACATGATCAGTTCTTGTTTTAAGAGCTCCAAATTCTTCATTTTTCAGTTTTCGAATCCAAGCCGAAGCAGTTACTCGATCTAGTATTTTATAAAGTTAAGTTTTGGAATAAAGGAAACCCTTTAAATCGTATGATTAGCTATCAAGGAGTTAACAATAATAATAATAATGATAATTGGAATACCTACCAGAAGGATCTTTAAGATTTAAAGCTAAAGGTTTTGCAAACCGCAAGTAAAATTTAAGCTCTTCTTCGGTCCCAGGGGTCGCCATAAAAAAGTTTAAATTTGAAAGTCTTTATTTTACCGTAATTTTGTAAAGTCCCTGTTTAAAATAAATCTTAATTTTACAAATGTCAAACTAACTCATATCTACTGACATATTCGTACTAGACAGCGACTGTCGTAGTTTAATTATTGTAAATAGTTATTCGATTCATTTTTGTTTCTGTAAGTAGGAATCCTTAAGACATAACACCACATCAATCACATAATTTATTAATTTTATTATATACCTATATACAAATACTCAATTAAACATTTCTAAAGTATGATGCAGTACTTAGTTAGATAAGTAAAAAATTTTATAAACGTGTTCAATAAATAAACACTGGTTCTGATGAATGTATGCAAAGAATAACGAAATATACCAGTCGAATTTTTTCTTGTTGTCATAATTAAACATATTTCTTCATTTTTCTCATTTTTTCCAAATTCAACGTACGAATCCAATACAGCCGCTACAGAAGTAATAGGAGATCGAGTCAACGAATTGAAATCAAAATTAAACCAACTGGAATTGGGTTTTTCATTTTCTATACCAGGGAAAAGATGTACTTCGGAAATAGATGTACTTTCACTTTTCGTTTCAATTTCGATACATGAGTAGATGTTATTACCGTATTTTTCTAACAAAGAACACGATGATGTTGCTTGATCTTTGTACACTAGAGACGTCTGTGTAAATGAGTTAGCTTGATAAGCAGTTTTCCGAGGCAAATTACTATTTAAAACTTTCGAACGCGTAAATATTAAAGTCGTGATTTCTTCTTGCTTATCGCAGATATTATTGATATTAGTCGCTGAATTATTATCACTCATCAAAGCGCATTTATGATTTTCCGAGGCAAATGCTCCATTTTGCAAAAGAGGGCAGCTTGAAGCGGAAGATAAAATGGATAATTTCTTTTGCTGTTTATCATTATCAAGACTGAAAGAACGTCTGCTTCTACTAAATTTGTTTATAATAGTCGTTTTTTTATTCTTTCTTCTACTTCGTTGTTTATTATTCTTTTTGCCGGTAATGGATTTAAAAGTTAGAGAAAGTCCATTGAAAGAATTATCTTGTGGTTTATAAGGAGGTAAGTTCCATAATACCTCATCTCGTTTAAGAATATTTTCTATTTCTTTTTCTAAAGTCATCGATCTCCGTATAAACTTTTTCAACAGATTACAGTTATGACTTTGAGAGATATCCTGACAAAGAGAACTCCCAAATAAATTTAAATCTTCCCAACTGCTGTTAGTATAATAAACTGAATTATACATTTCGCACAAAAATTTGAAATGGTTATTTGATTCTATTTAGCTTGCATCTACTGACTTCTTACTGTATAGGTAATAAACTCAAACATGTCAAAATGCCAAAAAATGGAAACTTATTCAATTTTTGGCAGAATTTTAAATGAAATTGATCTAAGTTTGCTAGCCAATTAAGGATGCTTTCTAGTTAGACGATATTAAAGAAATCAGTGTCGTTTAAAAAATCTACGGACTACATCTGTAAAATTTAATTTAGTAAATAGTGAAACAAAATAAAAGCTAAGTATTGAAAATTAGTTGAAAAATAAAAATGCTTCGCTATTGTAAGGGTGCGTAACCATTGACGGTTTTAAGAAATGGTGACTTTTTTAATTTCTCATCTGATAACAAAGATATTATATTTAGCGTCTCTGTTCTGTTTCATTGATAATTTTTAACAGCTTCACGAAATAAAATATGTACTGCAGATGTATCTCGTACAATTGGTTATTTAGCATTTTTTGTTCAACAATTATGTATCGGTGAACTCTCGAAAGGAATGACGAAAGTTGCCGGATCGAACCCAAGTTGAATGGATTTATTATGTTATTGAGGATGAAAAATCTAAATAACACTTTTTTGCCTGAATGACAGGTAATTTATTAATAACAGAAATATTTCAAAATTTAAAAACAAAATCAAAAAATCGTTTTGAAAATGTCGCTTATACATTTTTTGAATAGCCAAAAGTGGACGACTAAAAATTTATATAATAATTTGTACTGAACCCTTTTTACTTAACAAGTTTCAAAATGTACACAATTTACTGATTGTGATCAAACTATAAGTTTAATCGAAAACTTTTCAAGCAAAACTTGTTCGCTACTTTAATACAAGATCGTCTGTAACATTTAAATACGACTTCCTATACAAAGTGTTCATAAATATAAAAAGAAGTTTTTGTTTAAATGGCAGTACGGTCACTGACTTTTTTCTAGTTTTGAAATAGCAAATTAAAATTAGATGTAACAGGTGATCTTGCATTAAAATAGGGAATGTGTTCTGTTAGAAAAATGTTCCGATTAAACTTATAATTTATTTACAATGAGTATTTTGTGTACTTTATGGGCCACCCTGTATATATAATTTGTAATAATGCTACTATTCTTAACCCGAAATTTTACATGGAAATATCCCTAGAAAAGAAAAATAGTAATATGTATATTGATAAAAAATTTCACTCCTTTTTCAAAGTTATAAGATGTTCAGCTGTATATTCATATAGCACCGAATATGGTTGAATATCTTTGTTTTTTGGATATTATCAGAATATTGCTTGCCTTTACCAATTTAATTTATAAAAGTTCACTTAATTTTGTTAATTAAATGCTGCAAAACATTGTCTCAGTAAATGAAGTCTTATAATTTTTTTTTACAAAAATATTCTAACAAATCTGCTTATCCCTATTAAGATCATTTATTAAACGGTATCTACCATATATTACCATTAGTTGTTTGATTGGCTTACTGGAAATTGTTTATTCATAACTTTTGGAACTACCCTGATATATGAGCTTGTACTTGTTTAATATACCTCGTATATTATTGAAGTTTTCGAGTGTGACTGTTGAGTTGTTCTGATTGGCTAAATTTAATGCAGTTGTTTAACAGTTTTCTAACAGGTAGCGCAGGAGTAGTTTGTATCTCTTATGGCGGCGGTCGCGTGAAACGTTGTACAGTATCTGTTTTATAATTTGTTTCGTTATTGTTAAATGTTGCAGTTATTTTGTTACTAAGTGCATTGTTAAACTAATTCTGTTGTCGACTTCGTCAGCTTATTATTTTACAAAATGTTTAAAAGTTAAAATGTGCAGTGTTTATGTTTCTGGTACAAAAATAGTTCTCGGATTTTTACTGCAGCACAACACGTTTTGTCAAAAGGTAAGCCGAATTTCGGCCTTTTGGGCTTTACAAAGCAGGTAAAAAGATTGTATCGCTTGATTCGGTAACATTTACCAGCATAAATTTTTATCAATATTTATTATATTTTGTGTCTCATTCGCTTAGTAATATGATAAGGTTATGCTCGAGCATAATGTAATTTCTTAGATTTATTATTTGGCTTGGCTTACATAAAAACATTCATATAATAATATGTTTATAAATTTGTAAAACTATCTCGTAAAGATAATTGTTTGGAAATACCTGTTGTGCATTCATAACAATTAGGAAATGCCACAAAAATTAACTCTAATTGTAACTAATACAAATAATAACAAAGGTGGATTTAAAATTACCTTATCTGCTATTTTATATTCAAATTAAGTAAACGTTCCTTTGCTTATTTTGATAATAGGTACTGTTATAGGTAGGTCCACAATTTATTTCTAAAAAGCTAAAGTAGTGCATGAATTGCACGCATACCTACCTACCTAGGCATTAAAGAGAAGATAGGATACAACATTGAAAATAATATATTTATTATTAAATTTTATGTACTAACAAGTAATTTTCAATAAGTACCCATTTATTGTTAGTTATATGGATAGCAAGCCCTGAAGGTACTTATTTGCATAGAGGTGCACGTCTTATTTTTGTATACCTAATACCCATGTAGGTACTTACAGGTATCATTTAAATTTCTTGTTACTGTGGTAGGTATAATAATACCTGCTTAGGTACCTATGATTTTGCACTTTTTGAGCTATCTAAATTAATTATAAATGGAAAGTTAGTAGGTTTTTAGAGTTATTAGGCATTTATGTACTTACCTATCAGTATTTACTTTTTATTTATTGTTCAAACGTACAGATCCGTTATTAATAATTAAAAAAAAAAAATATGTACAGTAACATACTATGAAAGTGTAGGTACATTTAAAAAATTTTGTTCTATACAGGTAAGGCAAAATGTTCACCGGACAGAAATGATACATTTCTTTGATGACATTTTTGTTAAATTCTGAATATTTTGAAGACCTTTATTTTACGTATTGTTTATTAAAGTTTTTGTTTTTATAAAGAACAATATTTGTATACCTAGACGCATTTTTTTGGGAACAATGTAGTGGTGCAGATACCTGTTTTACTCCATTAAGCCATATGAAGGGGGTGTTCACGTTACAAAAGTATGTATTAGGTAACCTCCCTACGGTTAGTGAAATAGCTTGTTAATTTTCAAGTACACTTCCAAATCTAAAGTGCTTACCTCCATTGTACTCATTATAAACAGCAATCTAGTATGAGGGTGCATTTATTTTTAGCTGAGTCTTTTTTCTCGCTGCCGATCAACACGAAAATTGCCATTCCGTCTACATAAATGTTTTAAGGGGCGCTGTACTATACGGGGTGCTTACCGTCGTGAATTATTAACAGCCACTACACGAGAATGCTTTTTGCGAGTTTCCCATTCAGTAGAGAGATTACCGACGGCATTTTATCTACACGTACCTACGCGTTCATCCTTGAAATGTTCGTTTGTAAATAGTCTTTGGAAGTTTTTGTTTTTAAAAATGTGCCATTTTGAATGTAAGAGCAACGCAAAGTTGTTTTTGCAAAGAAAACTTCGACAAAGAAAATAATCCTAATATACATAATTGGGTACATAAATAAGAACTTGCCAAAGGTGCTAGGAAAACATCTGCTGAATCCTTATTTTAGTAATAACAGTTACTAAAAGACGTAAACCTTTTTATACCCATAAGATTGCGGTAGGTGTACCAGTGGCCAGTTGAAATTGGAAAATACAAATAAATGCAGTCATCAAAGGGCAGCATCATCTTTTGAAAAAATTACGTGGTACCCCTACAAAAATTGTTACAAATACCTTCAGTCATCTTTTCATATAAATAATAGTGTAGTATAAGTCAATTAAGTTAATTAAAGAAATGTGGGTATCCACACGTTTATAGAATTATTCATTTTCGTTTGTGCCACATAAAAAAACATATACCAAGGTAGACCATCATCATCACCATAAGGTCGTCAGATTGGATGGACGCGCACCTTCACTCTTATTCTGAGCTAATCTTCCATAAAACTGGAACATCCCACGTCCGTAACAATTTGTGAACAGTAAGCTAATCTGGGTCTTCATCTACTTCCCTTCATGACTGAAGAGACGTCCTACAAACCTACCTTCCCTATCTCTTATCGAATTCTATATCATCCTCTGTTCTTCTACTGTTTCTAATACCTCTTCCTTTCTAACCTTCTCTATCCATGGTATCCACGTCATTCGCTTGTAACACAACGTTTCCCTGTCCGATCCCACATCCTTAATTATTTGTGGTAATCTGTAAGTAATCTACTCAAGGTCTACCTCTCTTAGCTCCTATTTCTGCTTCCAATATGTCTAAATAGCCTTTCATGTCTACGAAGGTGTCCTACCAAACTAACTCTCCTATTTGTTGTTGACTTCCGTGAAGCCCCTTGTTCTTTTCCTCTTTCTAATACTTCCTCATTTCTGTTTCTATCCTCATAATTCTCCTGTAATAGCACATTTTGAACGCTCCTAGCATTAGCACGACAGTGTTAGATTTCTCATTTCTAAAGTGCAATTTATTTTGTCGCTAATTTGTTACCAAATCCTAAAATTTGTTACTCCAGTCGGATATTGGAAAATAAACGAAATGTCAGCCTGATATGCTGGCAGTACACATGCGTATTTCGAAATAGAAATGGCATAGAGGAATACTGTAAGGGTTGATTTGTTGTTGAAAGATGGTAGGTACTTGTACCTATTCTTTTGCGAATATAGCTGATCAAGCCAAAAAACATTGTAGAGCACTCAAGCTGGCACTACACATAACGTACCCCCCCCCCCTAAATAAAAATTTCGTAGAAAAATACTAAAGTAGTGAGATATGTTGGATGTAATGTCAACTTGGTTTTCCAACCATTTTTCGCTGGTCAGCTCGAGGTTGGATTCGCAATAGAATGAGTAACAGTATCTACTATCTTTCAGTGACAAATATTGATCCTTACAATATTTACAAATCATAGTGCACGTTAAAAATAAAAAATTTAACTTTGTTGTGCTAGGTCATGAAAAAGGAAAATGAGGACAAGGAAATGTGTAATTTCTATACTCGGTGAACATTTTGCCTTACTCGTATAATTTTTTGTTGTGTTTTTTTTTTTTTTATTGTTTTATTACACGTTTAGGAATGCATTTTTGTACCTATCCAACAACGTTAAAAGAAATTAAAAGAACAAATTTAAGATTGAAAGTTTATGAGGTAGTATTGCTCCTTAGCCATGACCTTAATGTTGGCCTTAACAGATTATAGCTCTTAAAAAACTAATGTCATTGACCTTATAACTGATGGTAACGTGACATGACATAATCTACTTTAAAAACTGTATTAAAAAAAAACAATTTAGCTCTAACTAACGGTTAGTAGGTACTTAGTACATACTTACTGAAAAATTAAATAAAAGAAAATCTCTTTTGAAGGTTTTTTTTTAGAATCGTTACTCTTTGATGTTTTTCATGCTTATTTTCGTTTGTTTATAAAGATAATTTTCGATTTTAGACTAAGCATTTCCATAGGGATGATTAATAGTGACAATTTGCCAAAAATTACTTCCGGAAAAATTTTTTGATTTTTAATTTATATTTTCCGTCTAGCTTGCGTTAGGTACCAGCAAGATTTTAATAGGCATATACTAGTGGCGAGTTGAAAACCAAACAAAGGGATGTTTTGTTACATGCAATTATCTAAGGCCGGCATCATCTTCTGAAAAGTACATATGGCGTAGAAAGTTTTCGTACAAATCCAGTTTCTCCCATTATAGTAAAATAATATGAGCCCAATGAATACAATTTGAAATTTTTGGTGGTAGGTGGGATATTATTTGCTCAAAAGACTATGAAAGTTTGATGGTTTTGGTAGGGTCCAGAGAAATAGGAGGAAGATATTTCCGGACAGACGTGGTTGAAAAAATATATTTCATACGATCAAACAAAAAGAAATGTGTAATTTGTATTGTGTGGTCATGGTCATGGTCATATGGAATTAATTTTTATGTGTCTGTAGAAAGGTGTTAACTGCTGTATTCAAAAACATACGGTGTTGTTTTATAATGAATATTTTATAACATTTTGCTATTATACGTAGAAGTATAATATGCGAACAAAAAAAAAGTTTAGGTATTTCTAAGACAATCGGTTAAATAATACATCATC